ACTGCATAATATCACTAAACCAAAATGTACTTCATTGATTATAAAAAAATCCTTTGATTGTGTCAATCATGTCAAACTATGGAATGTGTTTAGAAAAAGGGGAATCTCAGAACATCTCATCCTCATGCAAAACCTATGTACAGGTCACGAATCCACAGTATGGACAGAGAATAATGAAACGTAATGGACCTGGATTAGCAAAGGAGTATGACCACACCTACAAAGGTATAGATCAAAATAGTATAGTTTATGGCTTTCTCTGTGGAATTCTATGGAAGTGAAATTTGGATTTTGAAGAAGCAGGATAGAAACTTTGGTTTTGGAGGAGACTCCTGAGAATTAACATGAATAGTTAGGAAAACAAAAAAAAGGAGCTCAATATGACACAAATGACCAGGTTCACATTATCATATTTTTGATACATTATGTGAAGACTTAACTCTTTGGAGAAGTATTTAATGTTGTGAAAGCTGGAAGGAAAGATGAGAAGAAGATAACTAGCATTAAGGTGGATGGACTCGGTTCCAATGGGAAGGAGCGTACTGTTGTAAGACTCAAAAAATCATACTTGGAGCAGATCCTACTAGAGAAAATATTTCTACTTCGACTTGAGGGCACATACTCACTCAACTACATAATAATAAAGAAGAAATGTCTATATTATTTACTTTAAAATATTTCTTCTTTATACAACTTTCCATTATTAAAGAAGCTGAATCTTCCTCCTGATACTTTGGACTGCTTGGATAGTAACAAAGTGGAAAAGACTAGGATAATTTTCTTGTGTCTGCAAACGTTAAACAGTTTCTTAAGCCTTCTCCTTTGGAACATCATACCAAACTCCCCAGATGAGATTTGCACCAACCCTTCTGATCTTCCATAAGGGCCATTGAAGACCCAATGGGGGTGAGGTGGGTGGGCAGTGTATCACTCTGGAGGTGGTTAGTAGATTGAGAGAAGACTCCACATCACACCATGTTCTTCGTGTCCCTTTCCCAATGCCCATCTTTTAATCTTTTAATGATAAATTTTAGTATAACTATGATTCTTGTTATCACTTGTTTCTAGTTTTTAAGGTTGGTAAACTGCTCAGAGTTGCCTCCGGACGAGATGGGAGGCACATAAATCCAATAAACAAACGAACAGTGGCTTCTAGCTCTATCTAATCATTGTTCTTCCATTGTAAGCTAGAAATAGATGTTATTGCATTTTATTTTTTCATACTTCCTGTCGTATTCTAGCCAAACTAATGAGGGTGACATCAGATCAGGGAGGGTTTGGATCATAGTTATACAGACTTTCTAATCACTCTCTTTAATTGGTTTTTTTAATTGTCACAATTTCCATCTAGAATATTTTGAAAATAAAGATAGTATGTTTTAAAACTAATGATACAATGCTCTTGACTATATTATATATAATGGCATATCAAAAAGGCCAGGTCAGTACATCACAAAGATTACAGGACTGCTACTTTATTGATACATAGACTAACAACCTCTTGAATATATGTCAGAATTTTCTTCTGCCCATCTTACACCCAACAGAACCAAGGCTTTTACTTTTATGTCTTTCTCATCATGTCTTCCCCAATCTCAGATGTGTTTTGTTTTACTTTAAATGCTCCTGCATATCTTGATCAAAATTATATCTGCAATCTCCTGCAATGGCGCAAATATTTACCATCAAGTTAATTTTAATTATACTTTTAAGTTGATTTTTTTTAACTTAACATTATTGTGTTGTATCTTGTGGCAACAATACAACTATATGTTTTTTAATATTAATTGTAATGAACTGTTAAAATGACAGTATCACCATTGGGTGATTTTGGATAAGTGATGTCTGCAGAAGGGGAAAAGAAGTCAGACTAATGAAAGTAGAGTTGTGTTGCAACACTTGCCCCAGCCTTTTCTATATGTATCACTATATCAAATACATGCTTGGAAAAGATAAGTTTGCAGCACAATGCCATTCACAACAGCAGTAAAAACTGGGTTGGTTTCTTATTTCAAGTACTTCATTGCCACATCACAAGGTGAGTTGCATAAAAGATGAGAAAACACCCTTCATATGGTATTTCGCTCTTCTGTCATTGTTACATTTAACTACTTTCTGCACTCTGAGGTAAACATAACAATTTGGATCCTTAAATAAGGCCTTGTGATCCCAGAGAACTTTTGAGGAAGCAAAGGAAATGACATGAAGATAATTCTTGCAGAAACTTTTACACTGATTTTGGACCTAAAGTTATTGGTGTGCAACAACATTCTGGCTTTCTAATTTTTTTTTTTACACACATCCTTATATATTTGAGTGGTTGTTCTATATTCTTGTCCTTAATCACTTACCATGATTTAAATAGGAAACATCTGCTGTTTTTCTTGAAACCTGATAGTAAAATTAATTCATATCCTTGGGGTTTAAATCATATGTGTAGCTCCTTTAGACTTAGGTTGCCACCTTGTGACCAGTGTTTGCAACAGAGAATCATAATTTTCATTGTTGGATTAGATCAGATTATCCTGTAAATTAGATTTTTCTCATGAACTGAACATTTCAAACTTTGCATTTCTGGATAACCTACAAGGTGGTTATTCCTTGTGGAATATGCATCTTCTTATTAGAATAGTGCTGCCTTTGAACTGCTGCTCTATTTCTAGCATCCAATACATCAGCCTGGATGTCCCTGGGACACAGTGGGACAGGTTGAGATCTTTGTTTCAAATGAGAAGAATCTGTACAAAATTTCCTGAATTTATCACTTTTTTGCTACAGTATTTTCCCTTCTCTTACTGTGATTCTACTTTTTGTTTTTTTTGTTTTTAAGCTTGCAGGTCTGCTAGGAATTATTATCATAATCTCACTTTCCTTGCTTGGCCATTACTGCCATTCTCCAGAAATATAGCTTTGATCCCTGTTTTTCTCATTAGATGTTGTTATGTCTCCATTGTTTATACTTGTCCAACGATTTGCAAAAGAAGGTTGACGTGAAGCTGGCAAGGCAGTAACTTTTGATAGAAGATCCTATATTGATAGCAGGAAACACAGGTATAGAAAATGAGTGAGCAGTAGAACGAAGAAGCATGGGAGATAGCATGTTAGATAATCCTAACCTTAACCCTTTGTATACAACTAAACATAAAAGTTGTTGGCATGTATACCACTTAGAGCACACTTCTAAGCATGTCTATTTGTTCAATGCCCTTTAGTGGGATTTACTTTCAGAAAGAGGCATAGAGGAACCTCAACTCCTTTTCCTGGTTTTTGAGTCTTTTGGTGGTGTGCTGGTTGTGGGTGGATGTGGGTGGGGGAGAGTTATTTTGTTCAAATGTAAAAAGCAAGACTGCTTTTAGAACTCCCTTTGCTATTCTTCCTGTACTATTTTTACAAGTACTAATAATACAACTCAGTAGTCCTCAACTACTGGGATGCCCAGTAGGAATTGAAAAGCAGCATTGTAGCAGATGTATCAGTGTTTTTTTTTCCAATTTCATTACATGAAGAGTCTGCCCTGACCTCACTAAAAGCTAAAAATTATTATTATTGCTCTGATGTTATTCTTAACAACAAACTTTCATATCAGGATCTATGATAGAAGTTATCTTTGAAAGATTATAGAGAAATGCCATTTATTTCAGATAGCAAAATTTGTCTGTCTGTCTATCTATCTATCTATCTTTATATTTATATTTATCTCTCTCTCTCTCTCTCTCTCCTATCTCAGATGTTCTTTCTTAAAAGCAAACACTGCATTAGAATGTGGTTGAATTAAACCTATTAATCTCTTTTCATTTATCATTCCAAAGTATTATATTTGTCTTTTTTAATGCTATCTATATTTGGGATAGCATTCCTCCAGATATTCATACGTCTCCTCTCTTCTCCATTGATGTTGAGAAAGTTATTCTTACATACCTTGAGATTCAATGGGCTCTTGACTCCTATAAGGTTTTTTGTTGTTATGTACGGTTTTTCTTCTGCATGCATATGACCTCTACGTTTTTAATTTCATTGTTCTTACTTTTAAGATGTAAACCTCTCAGAATCATAATAGTCTGTATGACTAAATAAAAATAGAAATGATCATTGAAATGTCCTCCAATCCAATCCAAGGTTATTTGTAAAATATATGTTAAAGTCTGCAGAGAGGTTAATATAGCTTTAAAATATGTCATTTTTTCCTTTAGTGCCACTTAAAAATTCTAATGGCAGCATTGTAGTAATTATACAGATAGCCATCTAGTTGCATGAACATAAAAATATATCATTATTGAGTTGAATTTAGAAACGTTCAGTGACTGAACGTGAATAATCTCTGGATTGTAAACTTCTCCTTGAGAATTTTGGATTTCCCTGTGAAGCCTGATATAGAGTATATAGCCTCCAGTTATACTTTCATTCTGGGGCTTTAGTAATATTAGCAACTTGATTTTACTAGTTTGTGAGCCTTAGGTAATTACGCTCTACCTCCTGCTCAGGGACTGTGAAAATTCAATTTCAGAAAGGCAAGTGTTTCTGCAATTCCTTACCTACTTATACTTAAAAGTATATGTGCTTGAACATATCACCAAAATTTTCTTCATTACCATCCCTAGTTTATATCTAGAAGCATCAAGTTGTTCTGAAGCTGATGGCGTTTTAAAAAATGCATATTAACTATGTTAGATATTGCCTTCTTCTTGTATCTCTCTCTCACACATTTAGATACACACATTACAGTGATTTGTAATGAAGACATGAATGTGTTCGACTGCAGGTGAAAACTGCACTTTAAATCCTAAATTTTGTTTATACAATAAACAGTGAAGCCATTATGCTGATTACATAGAATTACAGCCATCTGGCCTACATTCAAAATATAAAGTTTTTTAGATCCAATATTGCAGATCCCTTTGCTTGGTGTTGTATTAGATTTACTAATAGCTCTATTGCTACTGAGTAGGAGAGTAAATACACTGTGCAGTCCTGCTAATGCATTTTTTTCCTTCTCTTTTTAGCCCCCTGTGAAGCCAACACATTTTTTTGCCATAGTAATATGTGTATTAATAATACATTAGTCTGCAATGGACTCCAGAACTGTGTATATCCATGGGATGAAAACCACTGCAAAGGTAATGCTAAGCATATGGATTAAACTTCCAATTAATGCCACAATAGTTTTAATTTAATTATTTGAAACTTGCCGCGTAATTATTCTCATGCTTTTCAATGAATGCATAAGACTGTTTATCACCTAGCTCTAAAATTTGTTAGAACTTGTTTCAAAAGTTATTACAAAATAAATAGAGCGTTTAATAGCTAGAGTGAAAAAGTCCTATATTTTCTCTGGAAAAGTTAAATTGTTGGACTTTGATCAGTATTTGGATAGAGAAATACTATCACTTGGGTTCCTCATTTTGTTCGTGGTGCTTAATATTCAGTGCTTGTGAAAATATAAACCATTATCAAAGGAACACTCACAATATAAACTTACAGTTATAATGAGATTCAATGGCTGATTTGTGAAATGTTGCAATATTTTGAGTTATTCATGGGTATTTGGGACAAAACCAGAGCATCGGTATGTTGAAAGTAAAATATATAACACAATAGTAATAACGAAGCATGTATAGGTATGAAAAGTAAAAACATACAATACATACTTCTATGTGTGTGTCTTGAATGTGAATAATAAAATATATGCACTTGCCCTTGTGTAAACCTGCCTTTGTTTCATGAGAAAATAACTCAAAAACAGCAGAACAACTCATTTCTTTGCATTGTTATGGGAAATAAAGCCAAATATTTCTTAAGATAAAAATCCAACTTCCAATGATAACTAACTCTATTATACCATGTTTAAGTGGAATTTTCTATAATTCATTGGTTTCTATTGTGAAAAATTGAAGCCTAAACTAGAATTTCAACCTCAAGCTTTATAGTACAGTTAGATAACAATTGTTTTGCCATAGTCCTCTAGATTTGGGGATTTCTGTATCTGCATTTGTCTTCATTAAAAAGAACAAGAGGGATAATTTATTTCAGCAACAGCTTCCATGGTTATTATGCCTTTGAAAGCTTTTTGGAGAAGGGTAAAGGACATCATTCATTTAGGAAGAACTGAAAAAAGCTTGCAAAATGCTTCGCCTTAACTGATAGCCAGCATAATGAGCCAAGCAGAAGAAATTGAAGTGTAATTCAAACAGAGGATTTTAAAATGGCAAATAATCTCTCAGAAAAACAGTTATAATTTTATGTTTGTTGTAAATGCAAGCAATCTGTCCACTAATTGATAGTTTTAAGTGCCTGAATGATTGTGATGAGGCAGTTCTATTAGATAGCTTTCTTCCATGCCTAACTGTTCCATATTAATGTTATGAGAAGGACAGCAGGTCCATATCAATGTCTGGTGTGGTTTGCTGGCTCTATTCTACCAGTATCTTCCCAGAAAGTATGGCTGGCCTACACGTTTAGAATTCTACATGAAGTACCTATCTATGCATGATTGTGAATTTGACTCAAATGTTTAATTCAATGAAAATATAAGGAGCAGGACTGGGCAATCATGTGATTCAAAAGTTGGAACAAACATACAGTTTTACTGTCCTTTTCAACATGTTAGTTTCCTTAGGCAATTAATGAGTGAAGAATTGCCAATCAATCCTTGACTTTTTACCTTCATCTTTTCAAAAGTGGTGCTGACAATATTTCTATACTCTTATGAAACAGATGAAATAAGAACAGATTAATTTTTATCACCAAATGCTGTAGGCTACTGGATTACGAAGAGCATTTCCAAATATGCCACTGATCAGAAGCAGAAGTCCCTGCTAGCAAGTCAGAAGCGATCAGTATTTATTCTGAATATTAATTTTATTTCAAAGCTGAATAAAACCTCAACACATAATTCATAGCATGCTAGGACAAGTGGCAAATCATCAGCGTATTACTAATTTTAATTAAGTGCAATACAAAGAGAAGAGAATAAATTTTTAATTAAAGAGATTTGAATCTTGATCCTGGATTGTTTTTGAACTATATTAGTTCTATAACTAGTTGCAGTTAGAGAAGATTTGAGAGGGATAGCTTTTATGGTAAGTTTTTGGAAGATTTTGTGTGGAAATAAAAATGTTCCTTAAAATGTCAAAGAATGGCTGAATTCTTCTCCACAAAGGTTGAGCAGTACTGACAAAAATGCAGGACAACACAGGCAAAACCCTTTCAAGAAGCTGTTACCTCTTAAATGGACCTATTGCCCTTAATGGAGAAAAATTGGATACTTCTAATAGAAATAAGAAATAAATAGATTTTGCTTTTCACGAATAACCCTGAGACCCTCCAGTGCTTGATGGTATTGCTTGCTTATCTTCACATTATGGGAAATTGTCTCTGTAATGAATTTAAGAATAAAACTATGGTTCTGAATTTAGAATTACAGTTTTTTTGGGAATATAAAATGCTCCGGACTATAAGACACACCTACCTTTTTTGGGGAGAAAAACAAGAAAAAAAATCTGCCTCTGCCTCCCAGCAATTTATTATTATTTTTTATTATTTTTATTTTTAAATTTATATACCGCCCTTCTTTCTGAGGACTCAGGGCGGTGTACAACCAGAATTAAAAAACATAAAATACAAATATTAAAAAACAATTAAAATATATATAAATTTGGCCCAAGATTAAAAATACAAACCAATTAAAACATTTAAAATTTCTTCTTAAGCCAGCCTGGCTTGCTGGAAAAAGTGAGTTTTAAGGGCACGGCGGAAGGCACTAAGGTCTTGGATTCTCCTTATCTCTGAGGGCAACTGATTCCAGAGGGTAGGTGCCCCTACAGAGAAGGCCCTCCCCCTGGGGGTCACCAGCCTACATTGATTGGCTGATGGCACCCTGAGGAGGCCCTCTCTGTGGGAGCGCACGGGACGATGGGAGGTCGTCGGTAGCAGCAGGCGGTCTTGAAGATAACTAGGCCCAATGCCATGGAGCGCTTTAAAGGTGATAACCAACACCTTGAAGCGCACCCGGAAGACCACTGGGAGCCAGTGCAGCTCGCGCAGGAGCAGTGTTACATGGGAGCGCCATGTTGCTCCCGTCACTACCCGCGCTGCTGCATTCTGGACCAGTTGGAGCCTCCGGGTGCTCTTCAAGGGGAGCGCCATGTAGAGAGCCTCCTTGGAGCAAACAGCCCATTTCAGTTTCAGCTTCAGCACAGCCTGATTAGCACAAGCAGCTGATTGTAGGTTGGATCGGCCTCCCAAAGATCAGCTGTTTCAGGCTGCAGGGATTGCCATAGCCTATTGCCGCCTCCATGCGTCTGGTTTTTGGCCTCCATTTTCTGCCTGTTTCGGGCAGCAGGGATCAGAACAGGTGGAAAATGGGGCACGCAGAGGCCGAAAATGAGGCACGCGGAGGTGGCAATAGGCAATGACAATCCCTGCAGCCTGAAACAGCTGATGGTCGGGAAGTTGATTCAACTGACAATCAGCTGCTTGTGCTAATCAGGTTGCACCGAAACTGAAACAGGCTGTTTGCTGCAAGGAGGTAAATTTCTGGGAAGCAGAGGCCAAAGGGTGGGGGCTGGTGGATGGGCGGGGCTACATTTGGTGTATAAGACGCACCCAAATTTTCACCCTCTTTTAGGGGGGAAAGAGTGCATCTTATACTTCGAAAAATACGGTAATAGAAAAAACAAGTACACTTGTATTTGACTAACACTTATGTTACCCAGAATTTATTTTCCATTGGCTAGTCAGATGCTTCTAAGAAAGTTACAACAAGGCATACAAACAAGCAATTTGTTCCCAGAGGTCACTTCTTTCCACCTCAGCAACTATTGTAGTGCAGGCAGTTCTTGACATACAGCCACTTGTTTAATAATTGTTTGAAGTTACAACGGTGTTAAAAAAAAGTGACTAACAACTGTCCCTCGCACCTATGACCACAATCCCCACAGTCATGTGATCAGAATTTTGGCACTTGACATATTTATGACACGACCACCTTTTCAACCTTCCCAGGCGGCTGCTCCACAAGAGACAGAAGCCAACTTTGCTTAATGACCATGGTGATTCACTTAATAACGACGACAAGAAAAGTCATAACATTAGGCATGTTAATTTGGTGACTCATTTAACATATGCAGTGCTTAGCAACAGAAGTTTCAATTCCAATGGTGGTCGTAAGTCATAAGGACTATCTGTATATCTCTTCCCTGGCTATTAATGTTAAAAGGTGGACTTCTTTTATGTTATGAGAAATATCCACTCACCACCATTTGATAAATTAGCCTCTTCCTTTTTCTAAACATTAGAGCAAGTAAGATCTTGAATCCTAACTCAGAAATAATTTAGAGGAAAGTTGATTCAATATGAAATGGAGTAATACAGTTGATTAATTGCATAAGGGCTGCCAAATTCTGCACCAGTTGTAGTTTCTGAATATTCTTGAAGACCATCCTAACATTTACTAACCAAAAAGAGAAACAACTAATGAAAGCGCTCCTTCTTCTATAGCAAGAGAAAATAATCCAAAACTAGGCAAAGATCCAAAACTACACAATATCACTGAATTTTCATTCAGGTGTCACAAGTAGGTCCAGTAGGTGTGGTCTTTGATTTATGAAAACAAATGTTATACAACCTGCATAGGATTGCTTAAACTTTTACACTGGTAAAGATTAGGAACACATTATCTCACTACTAAAATAATTTGGAGAATCTCTATACTTTCTTTCATCTAACTCCATAAACTCATAACCATTTCTTTTCATTGCCCTAGTTCAGGGGGAAAAAATGGCAATTTCTACAAATGTACAATAATAATAATCATAACTGAAGTAAAGTGGGCGAGATGAAATGTTACTTTGCCCTAAAAATAGATTGAGGTGGTGTTTGAATGATTATAATCTCAAATTTCATTTTAACTCTTTAAAATCAGTACAAGTATTTTTCACCTTTTAACTTATTAACACCAGTGAAACAATCCCTCTCTTTTTGTTGTTGTATTTTGTATTTTATTGAAACATTTATTATAAGCTCACATTGCATGGGAATCAGAAAAAATGTGCGAGGAAGAATAGGCTAACCCATCCTTCTTCATTTCTTTATAGTATGTATCCTCAACTTTCTCAGGATGTACTTTAATTTTCACACATGCTCCATACTTTTTTCTCTGGTGGATTTTCAAATATGCTAAATCCATTGGTAGACATGATTATCTCAGTCCACTTTGAACTATATTATCTCTCTTCCGTCTGACACCCTTATGAGTAATAAATAAATTGCCCAGTGGACAAACAATTGATTTTATCCCTCCTGGAAAGAAAAGAAAATACCCTGGCATTTTAAGGCTTGCTACTTTTCGTAAATTGAAAACATTTTTGTGGTATATATTATCATGTCACAAGGTAACTTCAATGAATAGAAAATCTTTACCATTTGAATTTATTGCACAAAAGTTTGATCATAAGCGGTCTGGAAAGCCTTCAATTTTCAAATGAAAGATGCATTCCTTTGCTAGTAAAATATTGAAACTATAATGATGGGAATAAATTTGTTCATGTATAAAATAATTTATCATGTGCTGTATTATATTTAAACACAAGCATTGATTCAGACCATTTTCCCCATCATATTATTCATATAGTAATTGCAGCCATCAATTGAAAACGTAACATTGTAAGATGCTCTCATGTGTTGAATAGGCAAAAGTAGTTTCCTGTTATTAGATGTTTTATTAAACATTAAAAAAATAATCTGTGTTAGACCATCCATATTATATACATTCTTAAATTGGTATAAGAACAATATATATCTTCAACAACGATTACAGATCCATAGTAGAAACATTTAACAAAAATATGTTCATAATTTTCCTTTAGGATAAAGTATAATATAAAAATACAACAAAAACAATAATAAAATATACAAAACAATAATATATTCCAAACTTTTCTCCCTCTAAATTCCACAATAGTATTACATATAGTTTTACTACATCCTAGATTCAAGTTGCTTAATGAATCTTGATTTTTTTTTTTTAGTAAATGGCTGGCCTCTTAAAAGTATTACTTGAAATAGTTAAAAAGTTGCATAGTGGTGGTTTTTTAGAATGGAATTAGAAAGAAGCACCCAACTCATACTATAGGCCAGGGGTGTCAAAATCACAGTGTCATGGTGGCATCATGATATATCGGGACTTTCTTCCCCTTCACTAAACTGGGCGTCGCCAGTGCGTGACACATCCAGCCCGCGGGCCACAAGTTTGACAGCCCTGCTATAGGTGGAAGGGATATGAGAGTGACTTGATTATTAAATGTGTTGAAGTATCTCAATGGCCATGGCAGTAAATTGTGGTTCATCTAGATTGACTCTTGAACTAATCCAATGAGCAATAAAACAAATAAACCTATAGCAATTTCTTTAGCTTCATCAGGAGATTTTTAGTCTGTAGAGCTAACTGTCCATACACACACGCACTTCGGAATAGTTTCATTTTAACTCTGTGCAGTTTCACTTTAGCTCTAAGATAATTAATGCAAACCTATTTGATCTACTTTCAGATTCCAGGACCAGTTAAAAAAAGATTTGTCCATAGATATGAACATTCCAATGCCTGACTAAGGAAGAGATAACAAATTAACTTTTCCCTCTAAGAACCAGGTTATTATTTTAGAGAATTCATGGTAAAAGACTAGCTATCCTCTCTTAGGGATGTCACCATAATGGAGAAGCTTGGAAAAATCTGTCACTGCACTTTTGAGAATTTGGTTAAATAGAAAAAAAATATCTTAGTTTTCATCAGATTGTACAAAATGACATTATTCCACCAATTTTGTTTGTTTGTTTGTATGCTTGATTTGTACTTTACAGAAATGTAAATTATAATTGTCAGAAAATAACTGTAGAATGAATGTATATCCAACTATTTGCCTTACAGAGGTTTATAAAGCTGGAGCAAATCCAGAGAATTGAAATCAGTTTCTGATCAGCAAAATGCTGTCCTGCCATATAATTCTGTTTCTTGTATTCTTTCTTATATCAGTTCTATAGTCTTCAAATGTATTGGGACATAATTATCAAAGTGTCCAGGTGTATAGCCAAGAAATCTATTGAAACATGCAGTTGCAACACATCTGGGCAGTATCCAGTTTGGAAAGATTGAGAAAGAATCATCATAGTAACAATCCATAAAACTAATGGTCATTAAAAAAAAAAGGCTGATTTTAATTTTCTGTTTTATTTTTTTATTCCCTTTCCCATCTCACAGAAAAAACAAAAGCCAGCCTGTGGGACCAGCTTACAAATACCAGTGGGACAATCATTGGGGTGACTTCTTGCATTGTGATCCTCCTTATCATCATCTCTGTTATAGTCCAGATCAAACAGCCTCGTAAAAGATTTGTCCAGAAGAAAGCAGACTTTGATCAAACAGTATTCCAAGAAGTTTTTGAGCCTCCTCATTATGAGTTATGTACTCTCAGAGGGACAGGAACTTCAGTGGACCTTGCAGATATTGCAGATGACTTTGAAAATTATCATAAACTCCGTAGATCATCTTCGAAATGCATTCATGACCACCACTGTGGATCACAGTTATCTAGCACTAAGGGCAGCCATAGTAATCTTAGCACAAGAGATACACCAATCTTGACAGAAATCCAACCCCAGCCTGCAAAGCCCCTTATCCAGCCTGTGAACAGAAGAAACATCCTTGTCATGAAGCATAGCTACTCACAAGAAGCTGCAGATGTGTGTGAGATAGATGAAATTGAAGAGGTACCAACCACGAGTCACAGGCTGTCCAGACACGATAAAGCTGTTCAGCGGTCAGTATCAATAGAGTTTTGATGAGGACTTTTGCATGAAGACTGGGTTCAGCTCTTATTTTCTATTTATTTATTTATTTATTTTTTAATATGTATATCCATTTTACAGTCCAACCATTGTTTGTGAGCCATCATTCTTCTTTATTCATGATGGATGATGGATGAGTATTCTAAAGAGGAGTGGTTTTTTGTTTTTGTTTTCTTTGGCGGGAAGGGGCTAGAGGAGGAGAAGGTGCTTTTGGTATCATCCCATGAAAACAGCCAAGGATCACTTAGCAACTCAGTGATTCTGCTTGCTAAGAATCCAAAATTGTCTTTATTTATAGTTTTAGGCATTTACTACAACTTCCAACCCAATACAATCCATGGCAGTATTCCCTGGCAAATTTTGGCAGATGAAAATAGGTTCTTTCTATTTATATTTACCTGCTATTTGGCATAAAGTAGCCATGGAGACCATTACAGTACCAGGCTTTACTGTCTGGCTTTGATAATCAAGAAATAATGAAGTTTAAACTTTCCCGTCTTTGATTGTTCACTAATCTAGGCTCTAAAATAGTTTTAGTTCTGAAGTGCAGCCTTCATCCTTTCCATACATACACACACTCAAGAGCTAATTGTATGGAGGAATTTATAGCATAGAAAGGTCAAGCAAGGAAAGAGTTAAGCAGCTCTTCCTAGGGAGGCTTATTTAATTTTTAAGGTGGCTAAAGAATACTGTTGATTATAATTAAGTTGGGCTTTTCATGTACAGTAGATATACTTATTTTGTGAAAAATTCTAATTGCAAATATTCCATTGGCTGTATGACTTCGTTTTTTCTTTATTTGTTTGTTTTTAATCTTTCTAATACTGCTCCATCATCAAAAATTGTCTCAGGAATTGTTTTCAGGATTATTATTATTTTAATTTCATTAAATATAAAAATGTATGAAAGGGTAGATAGACTTTTACCTACCAAAGATACTTTTGATTTAATTAAGGGCAGTTTTCTTTGAAAAATTAGCATGCAGAACTGATTTCTTAGAGAGCTTGAATGTAATATTTTCTCCTTCCAGATTGTAGGGAGGGATAAACCAATGAGAAAATCCCTTTGCCTTCCCCTCATTGATCATGTTTCTTTTATACAGCAAAACACAATATTTTGAAATACGATATGGTGATTTCTGCAGTTGATATATCATTACTTGTCTTGTTTATTTGCAATTTAGACTAGGGGATAATTTTTATGCTTTAGCTTGATATTCTTTTAGATTTGCTTATGAAAAAAAAGTAGCAGAGCAAAAGCTTTCTAAATCAAATCTGGCAGAATGACTGTTTCAAAGAAAATTATGGGGACTCTTTTGCTATGAAATACACCCTGCATGCTTGTTAATAAAAATGCTTAAAAGATTATGAGTAAATACAAAGTGAAAAATATTTACATGCAATGTACTTGGAAACTGCCAGAAACCTTGTGATAGGTTTAGGCTGTACACATGCATTTTATTATTCTCCATTTTATCGTGTTCATGTGTTCAGTCTTTTCCATCTACATAAAAGCTAGCCAAATCTGGGGTGTCTACAAGACACAGGAGGAATAAAACAAGTTAAATTGGTGGATACAGCCATGTGATTGGAGCCCCATTATTATCTTTTTTCTGCATTGCTTGACATACCCCTCCTCACTGAAAACACTCCAATCCAAACCTCTCAGTGCACTTTGTCAATTAGTTGCACCAAGCCATTTTAGTGGACTAATTTTAAAGGATTGATAAAGTTAATAAGAGTATTGTTTTTGCCCACTAGCCTACCAATTTTAGGTATCTTAAATCAATTTGCCTGAATCTTTAGATATGCTTCAGTAAAGAATGTATATGCATTTATTTCTTTTTTTTACCTATGCAAACATTATTATGTTGAATGAAATAGCCATAACATTCCAGGTTCTGCCTCATTGGGTCTCTAAACAAACATGAATCTGAGTACAACACAACTAGGGTGTAAAAGACAACTGAAGGTAAGCGAACAACTGAATATATTGTTCCCAATTCACCATCCCAGCATTTCATTTGTTTTCTTGGAAAAAAAATTGAGATCTTTTTATAATTTGGTTTTTGTGATTGTGTGTTTTGGCTTGTTTGAAAAATGTTGCTACTCCCTGAATGTACAAAGATATTAAAAGGTTTGCTCTAATTTCAATAACACATACAATTTATTCAATCACTTTCCTCCGTTCCATTATAACATCCTGCAAAATATGATTCTGAATATTAAGCTTGATTGTTAAGCAGCGGTTTGGCATGACCATTCAGTTTGATTGTTGTTCTTTTAAAATCCAGGGTTTAAAATGTTTCAAAATAACTTCTAGCCTGCAGCTTACACATTATAGGATTATAGAGAACCTATCTTTTAGATCTATGTATAGTCATAATTGATGGTATGCTTATTTTAGGGAAGTTGAATTAATATGCAGATTATTTCTTGTTTATCCTCACAATTCACTGAAGCTGGTTTTACTCAACGCCTATTGGCCATCTTCATGAAGTAGGAGTTTGAACGTGTTTCTTATTGAACTCTTAGAACTCTTATACATTTTTCCATTCCCATGATAATTTTGTTATATCGTCACCCAACAATATACAATCACATTTGGCTATTGTCCAAGATCTTTAGGCCAAAATCAAAATTTATTTTATTTAATCTATTACAATAAATTAATAAAATAGAAACTCCTTGTCCCTATAAATGTAATATTTTTGTCCTATGTCACTTTGCAAAGCACAAATTGGTGCCATTTTTTTTGGCCCACACCCAAGTTTTGGTGACTGTGTGTCACCCAGGTTCTAAACACATGATTCATGAGCATTGAAAAGATGAGGGAAACAAGAATCTGTAACTAAACATATGGCCTGGGTAATGAACTACAAAGGAAGTGCAGAAAATTAATTTCTGAGACCCAGCAGGAAAAACATCTTGTGTCTTGAATTGATCCTACTTCTCACTTTATTTTAAGGCGAATTCTATACACTTAGTTCCTCCTATTACTGAAAATAAATCTAGGAGAACAGTATACACTTCAGAGGTAGCATCAGGGATGAAATGCTCCTGATTCGGACCGGATCACCCGATCTGGTAGTGATGGCGGCGGGTGGTTCGGAGAACCGGTAGCAAAAATCCCTGGGCTCCCCATGCCCAGCTGAACCGCGCAATCATCAAAGGCTTTTTTTTTTTACTTTTAAAAGCATTTTTTCTACAACTTCTTCGGCAGAAAAAATGCTTTTAAAAGTAAAAAAAAAAGCCTCTGATGATCCCGCGGCTCAGCTGGGATCGCCAGAGGCTTTTAAAAGCATTTTTTCTACAACTTCTTCGGCCGAAGAGGTTGTAGAAAAAAAATTCCTTTAAAAGCCTCTGATGATCCCAGCTGAGTTGCCTGATCGTCAGAGCCTTTTAAAAGCACTTTTTTCTGCAACCTCTTAAGGTTGTAGAAAAAATGCTTTTAAAAGTAAAAAAAAAAAAAAAGTTGGCCACGCCCACCCAGTCACATTACTCCACCACCACCACTACCACCACCAAGTCACGCCCACAGAACCGGTAGTAACAAATTTTACATTTCACCACTGGGTAGCATATAAGTCACACAATATGTAGGCAGTTTCAAATTATGTGTATTAAGTGAAGTTTAACATTTTGGTTATCACTGAACAGTAAGGTACACCTAGTGGCATATTTGGGGGAAGGAAAGGGCAAAGGCCATTGTTTCATGCATGCCAAAATGAAAAATGATTAATTTTAATGCTGCTGATCATTGTCAAAAGATCTTTCCTGAAGAAGATAGTTCCATATTTCCATTATTTTTTAAAGCTTGGCTGAAATGAATGTAAGGTTGTTTATGTGTGATTTTTTTTATTTGAAATATAGTTTACTTGGAAATTGATTAATAGTGGTAGCTAAACCAATATTTTAAATATTTTGTTAGTTTGTCTGCATCTATATGATCTAGTTTTTACATGTGAATTTATGTGTACTATATGTGTGTGTCTATATCTATATATATATGTTTTGTTTAAAACGTATATATATATATATATATATATATATATATATATATATATATAATACATATATATACATACATATACATGTATGCATATACTTATGTGTGTGTATATATATATGTATGTATACACACATACACACACATGTATATACATACACTTATTAAAAAATTATTCTTGCTCCTGGCCAATGAAAGTGTTCAGCAGTCTTCTGTTCACCCCTTCCTGTAAATTATGTGCTCATAAGTGTTCTTATATCCGAATTCCAATCACCAGAAGTGATATTCTATATGTGTCATGGCTTCACACGTCTTTTTGCTCTCAGGTAGCCAAACTTGGAGGGGAGGGGGTATATAATACTGCCAATCACAAGTAGACACCTTAAAAAAATCCCAATGGACAAAAACCTTTGTCCATCTTTGTCCAGGTATTTCATTAAATCCCTATCGATGGATGGATGGATGGATGGAGGATGGATGGATAGATTGATTTTTGGGCCTCAGGTACAAAAGCAGATACATGTGAGCAATTTTCATAATTTTGCACAGAACTAGCTTCTACATAAATCACATTTCTTTTCATGGTTGAATTCATGATATCTATGTAACATCCTTTTTATGTTACAGTATTTTACATATTGTGTCAAATAAGATTCTTTCCATTGAACTTGTTATATGTTTTTCATTATGTAGATTGCTTCAGAATAGTGCATTCGGGGTGATTTTGAATATACAACAGTGACTTATGAAAGTATCAGCTCTGGAACTACAAGCTAGAGATGTTCTGGACTCCAATGAACTACTCCGATTTCGTGGGGAAAAAAACACCAGTCAATAATAAGCAAAATTAATGAATGGCAATAAGACCCTTATTACTATCATTTATTGTAATCATATTTTTCTTTTATATTGTTATTTATTTTGTTATTTGATTACAAAGAAAAGTTATCCACTTTCAGGAACAAATGATTAATCAGGTATTTATGGATTCATAACCACTTCAACAGAAGTATCAGTTGAAAACATCTAATGATGTGGCAGAAGGTCACGCTGAGAAATTGATCTGCATGTATGTTGCTGAATATTTCAATCGGCAAAAAAATGTTTGAGATTCATTGTAAAAAGCATGCATTCATACTTACTGCTATTCCAATCCATTTCTTTGTGTCATATGCTTGCAAATTGTAAGTTTTTATATAATGATACATAAAACAATGTATAATAATTTCTTAAACTGAGTTTTGCAGTAGTCTTATTTACTCTAGCAGTTAAGTAAGGATTTATAGTACATTTGCTGGGTCACATCTAAATGATGAATCATTTTTAGTAGCTGAAATTCTGAAAGTCATCTAGAACAGGGATCTCCAAACTTGGCAACTTTAAGACTTGTGGACTTCCAACTCTCAGAATTCCCCAGTCAGCATACTAGTCTTAAAATTGCCATGTTTGAACACCCTTGATCTAAGAAGGGAATGAAGCAAGTATGAATAAATACTGAACTTATCTTTAATTTCTCCCAAAAACCCAAGTAAGATGAGATTTCTACAGTATCTTTGTTTGTTCGTTTGTTTGTTATTTTAAAAAATATTGCACACAGTACTTTCTGATAGATTACATTAGGAATAATGTGTAATGTCAAATACCGTAAGCCTTGTTCCTTATGAATTACAGAATTCTCATGTCATTTGCTGAACATTTCTATCTCATTGTCTCAGTGTTGAAAAACAATTTTTCTAGGACTTTTATTTAACCATCCCAAATGTTGCATAAGAAGCTCTTTATTCACTTTACCAATGTAACATATTATCTGAAATATTGAAAGCTCAAAAGCTGAAGTTCACAGATGTTGAAATCTCAGAATCATTGTGGCTTTGAAGGGTGCACACAGATGGATGACAGCTGTCAGATTCAAATGAAAACTGATGGTAAACTGTCAAATATTGTAAATTGCTAAATGTAGTCCAGTGTTGAAAGTTATTACAGATTGATTGCAATTATTTAATATTTGTAATTTTTTAAAGTAAATTTCTATTACCTCAAACAGCATATTTTTTAATGTGTACTTTGGAGTAACTACTTTTATAAACAAAGCAGTTGAGTAAAAAGTGTTTCCCTCATTGGCCTCAAAGAACAGAAGGCATTCAAAATAACTTTAAAAATATATATTCACAAACAAATCTCATGATATTCATTGGCAGTTAATCTCAAAGACTGTGACACGTGATTACACTTCCAGTATAGAGTAAGAGTTATGCTGGAGGAGGAAAGAATGGATATATTTGTGTGTATTTATGTAAATTTTATTAGCAGTAACATTGACTTAGGTTTTGAAGCTTCTACTGCAAAGAAACCCCTCTTTTAAATAGTCAATTTGCTTGCATTTAAATTGAATATTGCATAGATTGGTGAAGTGGGGGGTTATGGAGTTACTGGAAATCTTGGAATAATACTGAAGTGCACTTTATATTTCTGATGGACTGTGGTGATCACTATTCAGTGTTTAAAATGTATGGCCTCATGTATTACAAGTCTTTGATGCTATGTCATGTCATGAAAGATGGCGACAATGTGAAGAGAAGTTTCCTTGAGTTTGATTCAATTAAGCGAAGCTCTCATTGTAACAAGAACAAACAACAAACTCATTTCATCAGTGCTCCTCTAATTTGCTCTGGCTTCTCAAAAACCAGAGGAACTTTTTAATCATTCAGAACATTGCCAAGGCAAAGCAACAAGAAGACTTTGAGAAAAAGGAGCCAGATGGGTTATCCTTTAATCAATTAAAGAAAGAGAAAGTCTATTGTCTCTTGGACTGCTGGATAGCCTAGTCAAGAATTTAACTGAAGATGTTTGTATGGTAAGTAGTTTCATCCATGCTCATGCATGTTTGTGCACTTTTTTGTGGTGAGGGCTAACTTGACAATGAATGTTTAAATCCCCGTGGAATTGTTTACAAAAACTTTGATTTTATTTGAGAAAAAAAAATAATGCCTCATGTAACTGTCTGGAGAAAACATGTTTTCATTATGATGCATTTACATGCCAACAGTATCTCAGATTAAAAATACCTTTATATAAACAAAAGCCTTCTATAGTTAACTAGTTGTTGATCATTGGTTAAAACTGCATAAACAGATGAACCATCTGTAAATATAAGAAGAACCTCTTCTTTGTTATCAGTTAGGATAATATTAAAGCAGCCAGCCACGTGGTCCTGTGGGATGGTATCTCACACAGATCAAATTTTTCTACATCCATCTTCTGAGTTTTCTGCTTCTCATTTCCATAGAACTTTCGACGACTTCTGGAAGCTGCTGTTACCATACCTTTTGGTTTAACTAAACTTGCCCTGGTTTGGCCCTTGACTTCCAGCCTTGGCTGGAAGTAGAACCATACTGACCTGCAGTGGAGAATTGTGGCTATAGACTTAGGTTACAATTTACTGTTTGCACAGGCAGAGGGTGGGAAAGTGGATTGAAATGCCAACTTGCAGTCTGGCCATTGCAATTCCACATGCAAAGATGTCTGTATAGAAGCAGTGGTTTAGTTGTCTCTCAGAACTGACTGCTCTTCTGTATAGTTGAGCCGTGGCACAGTGGTTTGAATGCAGTATTGCAGGCTATTTCTGCCAACTGCCAGGAGTTTGATTCTCACTGGCTCCACCTTCCATCCTTCCGAGGTGGATAAAACGAGGACCCAGATTGTTGGGGACAATATGCTGACTCTGAAAACTGCTTAGAGAGGGATGCAAAGCACTGTGAAGTGGTATATTATTGCTATTGCTTGGAAAATGGAGAATGGTTATAATGTTTGATATTACAAAGTATTTTAAGTTTTGTCTAAGCATGCTGTTGTTTTTCAGCAGCAGTTTTAATTTTGTTTTGCTATAATATCCAACTGTCTGACTTTGCCATTACCAGATTCATAAAGACTTATGTATTTAAGAGTCAGGAAATTAATGAAACTAAAAATAATTATTTTTATTGATATTATCCAGGCATGATATTATCCAGGCATATTGGCTTAGCTTAAATATTAATCATAGCCAAATCCAGTTTAAAGATAAATTTCGACTGTACAACCAATCAGGCTGATGTAAATACTTTTGTGATAGATGCCTGTTTGTTACATGCTACAGTGACTTCATTCTTCCCTATATGACAAATGTTTATTGGTGGTTTTCTCATGCATTTTATACTGTTTCAAGGGAAGAACAAATTAGACTTTTATACTTACCGTATTTGTGTGTTATATTCTATCTCATTTTTCAGTCAGTATGAATTTTTTAAAGGGCTCACAAAAAATGTATATATTCTGCACATAAATTCTTTTAATATTTACTTTTTAAAAAAAAATACTCTAAGGTTTCTCCCAATGAATATCACAGCAATTGATAGGTAAAAAGTAAAGGACAATTAAATTTCAGGTTTTGTATTAACTTGTGCAATTATGCTTGGTCATGTGAAAATGAAAACTAAAGAAACTTTTCCCATTATTTATTTACTTTTATGTTTCAATATAATATACATATGTTGACTTGGCATAAGAACCAGTGGCATAATTACGGCATTGCAAGCCATGAAGACGTAAGAGTATTTGTTGCATACTCTTCATTGCAAAACTTTATACAACCTATAATGTGCAATGCTTTGTCCTCAGTGCTGATGCTACATATGCCAATTCTCATGGATTATGAACTCATTTGTTGGTTGGTCCACAAGTTGTCACAAGGATCCAGAAGAATTCAAGGAAAAACTGACATCATAACTGTGAACTATAAATACGATAAGCTTTCCAGAAGCTTTTTTTTTTTTTTTTGCCATTTAAATATTCACTTGCAAAAATTCAGGGCTGTTCTTTTTTGGGTTCACGTATCTGTTACTTTTCTGTACGCCATGCCTTATTTCTTGAAATGCAATTACCACAAGTATCTATGGATATTCTCAATCATCTAGGTCATGCTTTTTCCAAGAGTCAATATTCTCATGAACTAAAGAAGCTTCTTGGATGAAAAGCAAAATGTTTTCAAAGAAAAAAACCAAGAAAGTCCAGTTGCCTTTTGCAAAAAGCACCAATTACAGCTGTAACTCCTTGTTCTCACATTTTCAACAAGGAACATTTATTTTTGGATCTTCTCAAATTATCTTCTCATTAAGAATAAGATGAGATATAAACCTAACAAATAAGAAAGTCATAGTTCTGATGGTTGAATAGAACACACCAAGTTCTTGGATAACCTGTATGATAGTGCTGCAACAGAATTCCTTACTGATTTTGTTCAATAATATTCAAAGGAAGCTGAAGAACCTTCTTGGATGAGAAGCAAAACATCTTCTCAAAAAAATCAAAGTCCAGTTGCCTCTTGAAAAAAGCACCTTTGGGACAATCATTACTTGGATGACTGAGAATCACCATAGATGATCAAAGGAAGTATGTTGTCATAAGAAAAGCCCACTCCTTAATAAAATGGTATAGATTTCTGCATTATAATCCCTTGACATTACTAGATAGTAGGAAACGAATCCTGCACGGTCCACATATGAAGGTAGCACTTAAAATGAAAACATACTAAAATTGTAAAAGAACAAACCAGACTTTGGACACCAGTGCAGTGTCTGTATAGCTCCCCTGAAATAGAAAAACCTGTCAGTCAGGCTAGAAGTACTTTGGGCTAAGTACTTTCCCTATTTGTTCACCCCACAATTAGAACAGTATTGGCTATTAACAGGTATTTTCAGGAAGAGTTATTCTAGAGCAGGGGTGTCAAATTTGCGTCGTCATGGCAGTGTCACATGACGTATTGGGATTTATCCCCCCTTCGCTAAACCAGGCAGGGCCAGCACGTGATGTAATTAGCCCAAGGGTCATAAGTTTGACACCCCTGTTCTAGAGAGACCATCTTTTATTCCTGAGCTATGTGGTACCATCTGCAAATTTGCCTTCGTATGGCAATAAAGCATTTTTCATTGGCTGGATATACATGGATATCCAGCCCCACATGGATGGATTTTTTTCCATTTTATATAAGAGCACCCAGCTGTTTCCTACAGGTAATCTACAATTTACAACTGGTTGTTTAGTAACCATTTGAAATAACGCCAGAGTTTTCAAAGCTCACTCCCTGCAGTGATGTGATTAAATTTTGGGCACCTGGCCACTGGATCATATTTATGACTAGTTGCAAAGTTCTGTGGTCATGTGACCATGATATGCAACTTTCTTTTTGCTATTTACTGGCAGAAAATAGGGGGGGGGAGAAACCCCATTGGATATGCTGGATTCAGTTAATGATCATGTGACTTGTTTAATGACCACAATGACTTACTTTACAACCATCACAAAACAGTAAAAAAAGTTTAGTCACATGATTAGGGTTGCAAGCACAATGACTTGGGACCAAAATTGGTCATATTTTGGACCAATTGGTCAAAAGTGAAGGGTATGCTTTTATGATTACTGGTGTTACATTCTAAATATTTTGAAATAGTTTTCAAGGTTTGGTAATAAGAAAAATAAGAGCTATAATATATTTGACAATATTTGCTACCAAGGTAAGTTTTCCTGATAATCCATAAACTTCAGAGAGGACACTGCAGTCAAGTGGCATTACCTTGTATTCACCATCTATATGGAAACTCCATGTGTATGTTTTGTTCAAGAAATTTTTTTGTGTATATCTTTTGGTACTGATTGTTCATTTTGTTGTTCATGTTGATATATCTTTCAGTTCTGATTAGTTTTTGAAATTCAAGCCCAACAAATTTTAAAACATCCTTTTTTCTCCTATCCATCTTCCTTCTAAATTCTAATTCAGATTCTTTAAGCAACCTGTTTGTTTTCCTAATTTTGCATTTTACAAAGTAAATATATTTATCCACAACTTTATTGTGATTGTCTTTTTCTTCTTGATTATAGATAATATAATCTAATTCTTTAAAAAGAAAAAAAATGTCTTTTGTTGTTAGATTCATTTCTAGGTGTGTTTAATGGTGAGTTGCACCTGAAATAGCCTTATTAAATACTTTGTTCATTACATACAGTAGTTCCCTTTAGTTGTTTGAGCAGTGTATAAACTACTGTATGTAAAGAACAAAGTATTTAATAAGGCTATTTCATTCATTCAGATCTCGGATGTCTTCTGCTTGTGTTCCCTTTATTTTTTTGAGCAGTATATATATACACACACACAGCACGGTGATTAGGCACAATATTGTTCAGCACTAGCACTTCAAAAAACACTTATTTTTTTAAATGTACATTAGCATACCCATTATCACATAATAATGCACTTAAAACTCTGCTATTGGTCTAAAAATCATTTATCCATATTAGCATGCAGTATGGAAGCTTAAAGTGCTTTTTAATGTGCTTTCAGTCTTCTCTCAAAATCGTACCAAGACAGCAATGAAAAAAAAAAAAGACTAAATGGAAAATAGAATAGAAATGTAAGTTGTGGTCTTTGAAAATAAAACTGCAAAATGATAATGGTTTAAAATTTCTTTCAGAAATATTACAAACCCAAAAGGAAAGCTTGGTGTGAATATTTAAAAGGCAGTAAGATTTCTGTAATTCTCTTCGTTTTAAAGACAGAGGCCCAAATTTGAACAATAGAATATGGCTTTGATTTATTCTTCCCACCTACTGCCATTTTCCATTGGAACATCCTGACCCTTAAAGCACAGTTGGCTGAGGAATTCTGGGAACTGAAGTCCACAAGTCTTAAAGTTGCTAAGTTTGGAAACCCCTGCCTTAAAGGAATAGAGTGGCTTTGTATCCAAGTTCTTTCTTGGAATTCTTGAACTTGGTGGAAAAAAACCTGATCTACTGCAAAACTCAGGAATCAGCAATTCCCCCTATGCCATTCCCCACCCAAGTGACAACTTATCTCTGGTTGATTAAACCAAAATGATTATAAGATTTTGGTTTTTTTAGTGTGTCTTGTGTCTGGCCCAACAAAAAAAGGGCTAATTTGAATTTTTCTCTCCCAATGTTGCAACTTGGCACTATAACCTATACTGAGAATCAAAAGTATCAAGAGAAGAGATGCAAATATTTCTGTCTTCCCTTCTGCTTTGTTGGGCAGTAGTTGAGCAAGTAATTTCAGTTAACAAAGCAAAAATATCCTTGTTACCAGTTAAAGGAAAACTATGCTTCTCAAAATAAAATACATTTAATATTCATTATCTAACAATCAATATAAAGGGTGATTGGGAGACTACACTGGAAAATTCCACAACGTTTAAAGACACGAAAGATATGTCTTTATGCCACTTCAAGAGTCTTTTTATTCTGAATTATTTTCAGATACAGTTTTAAAATGTCTGTCTTTGATGTTATCTGACTTGAATACAATAAGGAATAAGGCAGCCAGTTCTTAAGCATGTGTTTAATGGACAATGGGGTCAGCCAGTGATTCCACTTTATTCAACCCTTTCTTTAAATGTATCAGCCAATTTAGTACTTGACCTAAATCTATTCTATTCTTGCATTTGCTGGAGATTTCCTCAGTTTAAAACATATTGATGATGATATGTGGTGAAATCTAAATCCTGTTTCATTTAGTCATCCACTTTATAAATTAAAAGTGTTAAAAATAAGACTTATATTTGAGGATTCTTTACCTTTTCCCAAACCAATCCTCCTCCTCCTCTTCCTCTAACTAAACATGAATCTAAAATGTCATGGAGGTTATAGGTTTTCAATATACTCTTCACTATTTATATAGTTATGACATGCTATATTACTTATTAAAGAAGAGTCCAAAAGTTGCAGATAAAGCTTCAAACAAATTATCAATTAATACGGTAGTAATCCAATTAATAAAATTCAAGTATAAATGGTAAACCTAGAAAAACTCAGATTTAAAATGTGGTACAAATACACAGCATAAAGTATAAGCCAAGGCCAGTTTCCAATTAGACCTGAATTCTACATCAAATTTACTTATTAAATAGATTATTTTGGACATTGAAACATAACTGAATTCACATTCTTTCCAGAAGGAATTGAATACTCTTTTCAATAAGCTGCAGTTAACGTATACAAGAGACTAAGAGGGAACAAATGACACTGGAATAAGACAAAAAATGTTAGTTCATCAATTGATAAGGTAATTAGTATTGAAAGGAAAGAAAGGAATCTAAACAGCCATTTGATGTTCAGCATATACAGATCATTTCCCACCAAATCTTTGTGGAACTGATGTGCTGTTTGAAAATGAGGGGAAATGAAGATTTATTTAAATTATTTGGAAGTTTTGGAAAATAGTTTCTTATGCAAGCAATAACAATAATAAAAAATAAAGTAAAATAAAGAGCAATGCATGAATATGCTTTTTAACAATATGGTTAAAAATATAGACAATAATATTTTGAACATTTAGCCATTCTGTTCTTTCTCTTCTACAATCCTTGCAGTGATACTGAAGATCAAAGGGTGAGTCTTCTATTATGTTAGATGCTATTGTAATCATTCAAAATACTTCAATGTTATGTAGTAACGGCGCTACTATATGTGTATCCCTTGGTTTTTTGTGTTGATTAATTAGATATCGGAAATTGTTTTTGTTAATCAGAAATATTTGTTATGTATCCTAGAATGCTAATATTTGAATGGCACAGCTGTGTTTGATGAATAAAGGCAAACCAGTATGAATCTGGCATGGAGTTGGAAGTGTTTCTAGAGGTCATTAGCTATGCAGCCCAAAGTTATAGGTCAGCAACAGAAAAGCTAAAGTTTCCAACTGTATTCCATCTTTTGAAAAAGATTAGTCAAAATTGATGCTTAAATCAATATTCTGATTATGATTGCCATTATCTGCCATCATACTTGCCAATATTCTGTCTTCCTCACCCATCCCTAGATTAACCATTAAGCAAATTAATTAATTAATTAATTAATTAAGTCATTAAGCAAGATAAGCATGTACTTAGGAATCCAAGAGAATAGGGGAGCGAGCACCACAATTATGCAATTATGCCTTTAGCTCTTTCACTACCATACTCTAGTTGAATTGTTTTCAATTGTCATGTTTGTCATGACTCAGGCTCAGGAATCAAATTCTGAATCTGAAGAAGCTGCTCCAGTGAAATCTGTGGGATGTCAGCCAACACCAACCAAGAGTCACACAAGGCTGTATGATCAAAACATCACCACCTGGACAGCTAGAACAGTCAGATAAGGATGATATAATGCCTTCCAGACCCTATACCCAGTGAGTAGAAAGGAGAGCAGAGCACAGGAATTTTCTGAAACTTCAAGTGATTATTGAAGCTGTTGCAGCCTGATTTGAGAGGCAGTCCTGACTTACGTTCCTTTGCAGGAAACAACTATCTGATATCTGGCCATTCAGTAATGTTCCTCTGAATATTGTTGTGTAAGAAACCTTCAATCTCTGGACAAGGTGACAATTCTGAACCAACTCATGGAACTTTGGACTTATTTTGGATTTTTCTTTTGCACTCTCCAATTTTAAAGCAAATCATTTTGGAAAGCATCTAGACCATTTGGTTTATGTGCTTTGACTGTTATTATCTCTTGACCTTGAGTAAACTGTCAAAACCATAGCAATTGTGTGTGAGTCAGTATTTGAAACCAGAAGCACGACAATGTTCAATTCTAATTTGTTTTTTAAAAGAGATTTTCATTGATCTGGTGAGTAACAAAAAATTAAAAGTTTGATTTGAAAAACTTCTGAAAAAAAGTTTTCAGAATTGAAAACAATGCTCTCTAGATCATGTAATTTCAGGAAATATAATATTGAATCTTATTTTATCTTATAATCTTTGTGGGCATGATTAAAATGTTTTTAATAAAATATTAAATTTATTTTAAAAATTTAATAACATTTTGTTAACAAATTTTAAAATGTCCATTTTTATGTTGCCCTAGTTATAATAAATACTGTGATTATATATTTGTCCGCTGCTATTTAGTGTTAAATATTTTATAAAAAATGAGTATCGTTTAAAATGTTTTTCAATGTATAATATAGGGATCTAATGTGGGAGATCGCATTAAGGAAATTGAATTTTTAATCTTTTATTTCACTTTCAGCACTTATTGAATCTTAATGTCAGTTTAAGAAATGGAAGTATCAAGGGGCACCACTGTTGTGCTATGTTTAGGGCATTAGTAGGCCTTAATCTGACCTTGAACTCAACATTTGAAAGCAGATGTGAATTCACATTCATCAGAGATATCTGAAGGGACCAAAGATTTGGAAAATATGACTTAGCACTCTGATTTTTACAATGGTTTTACTGCTTCATTTGAAAAGTTTACTATGTTTAATAATTTACACTACATCCTATGCTTAATTGTTTAATTATTTCAATTATTTCAACCAAACTAAATTAATACCAGGGGAAGCTATGGGAAGCTGAACTGTGAAATTGGATTCCATATTCCCTTGTACAAAGCTGCTTTCTTATCAGTAGGAGATTCTCTTACATATAATTCTAACATCTAAAAAAAATATTGGTGGGATTTTTGTAGGAAAAAAAAGATACAAACCAACTTTCATTTAAGGTCCAAAAAGATAACAAAAATGGCACATTAATTACATTCACTCAAATCTAATTTTCCTACAGTTGATGTCTATTTGACTTCCTTCTCTTTCTGAGTGACCCATAAGGTCAGCCTAGAATAGGTTCAAGGATTCATGCAATATGAATATCAAGAGGGAAGCTAATTATTAATATTGATCAGTAGTATTAGGGAGATGTCTATTTTAGTAGAGCTCTATTTCCACCTGAATTCCTTATAGGGTCATTTTCTCTTCCTGACAAATAATTTATATAGAGCTAATGAGTTTTCAAAGGTGAAACCATTTGATCAGAGCTGAAAAATAGGACTCAAAGGATTTCTACACAGAAAA